ACTTTTTTCCTAATAATAAACGGTTAGCTGATTCAAGTCTACAGCAAGTTCACAAAATTAATTGAAAACTTGTATCAACCAAAGCATTGTTTATATTTTCTCAACAATGATTTTATTCAACTAACAATATTGTCCAATCAAGGTAGTCGTTTTGTAATTATTAACAAATATACATTTGTCCCAACTAGAAGTCTTAAGTAAATTGCAGACTTTCGTGAACTATATATTTATTTCGCCATATCCAACTATGCCACTTGATCACTATAACCAAATCTTGGTTATTATAACTAAACCTTTTTCTGGGTGTAGGTAAATGAAAATTAAAGAAAATGTAATACATCGCAATAACTTATGAATATGTTTTGCAATAATTGTAGTAGGAGCTCATATTTAAATAAGTTCAGTTAGAAAACCGTTGAAAAGTTTAGAAAAAAATAATTTTATTTGCACTTTTGTCAAATTTTCGGACTATCATATACGCGGTATTGCATTTTGCGTATACGCGGTATTGCACGCCAAGCGACGATATATGTATGTACATCATTTTATATAAATAACCTCATAAATTGAAAATATATATGATGGGTTTTACACGGTGGAAGTCAAGGTGAAATTGTACCAAGTGAAGTAATAAGAGCGAGAAGAAGGATTTATATTGATTTTATACTATCTTATTTGAAAATTTGCCTTTAAAATTTTTTATAAGATAGCCGATTACCAGAAAATAAATCGAGATAGCTGATATATTACTTCACCTGTTTATTGCACCATGGTGGGTTCAAGTATTGAATTCAATTCTGCTTGCAAGTGGAAGAGGGGGGTGTGTGAGAAGAAAAGAGAAGAGTACACATTCGTCTGTACTGGAGACGCCGTTCTTAAATCGATTAAATCAAAGATCGATTTTTCGAGCTCTTCCGATCCGATTTTTGCCGATTTTTGAGTTCCAATTCGATTCGTAAATTGATTAAAAAAATTCGAGAATCGACGTTCCATTTTTGCTCAATTGATGCATATTCCCCAGAAAATCTATGAAAATTTTGAATTTGGGGCTGGTACAAAAAAAATAACATGAATGCGCCTTTAAAAATAACTCTATATAAAATTATGGCTAATGCTATTTACAACAAAAACTCCAAAAATTCTTATTACAAACTTTACGCAAAATTTCATAGAAAATTTTAACCCTTTAATTACTCCATTTATATTTTTTTAAAAGGATAACTAAAAAGTGAAATATAGATTCAGCGAAACCAAAAAAAAACTAAACAACGTCCGCATTTCAAAAAGGGATATATGTAGGTTAGAAATTTCATATATTCAGGTTTTCCTTGTAGGGTTCTTTGTGTGCACTGGCAAGCGCATCTGGTCAAATGCATTCGGCACACCATTTTGCAATCTCTAGGGGAAAAGCTACAAAATAAATATATGACTACATATGTATTATAAAAGTGTATAACCAAGCATGTAAGTACTTAAGTTGTAATGCGTGTATGCATTTTATCTACTTGCGTTGAAAATAAATGGGATTCATCTTTGCGGATATGTTTTCATACAAGCAGCTGCCTTAATGGCATTTTTCAACCACTGAGATTGTCATGCATCTGGTTTGTCATCCATTTTAAAATAAGTACTAATACTAAAGCATTGTTTCTAAAAACAAATCTATTACATGAAGGTCTCATTGTCCAAATGGAAGGAGATAATTAAGTGGGAAAATCAATGTCCTACAAGGAATATGTTTTGATTAATGAAAATAATTTTTAGCCAACATAAAGTACCGTTTATGATATGCCGCAACGCAGCAGATATACTAAACAAAGAGAAACAAGTGCCATATTTATTCAGATCTACAAAAATTGTTAGGATTTTGAATCCAAAGAAGGAATAGAACATGAAAGCCTAATCGCTTTAAAGGTTCATAAAAGAGCCTCCTTATTTTATTGGTGTCAAATGTGGAAAATAACCACCCATGTAAGTTTTTCCGATAAGTAGATATCTTTATGATGGCAATTCGAAAAACACATCCAATCGAAAAATCGGCACCCAGATGTCTGATTTGATGTACGGGTATATGTGACGTGGTTATAAAATTTCAATATTCACGAGCTGAACCTAATCTGTTTTGAGTTGAGTATCATTAAATCATATGGGCGCACCTTTGTTCAAACGCTAAAAAAAAAACAGGTTAATCAAAATCAGAAAATATTTTGCATTATTAAGTTTACATAAATGTGTATGTTTGATTACGCTCATATGTACATACATATATTTGCAGCTCATCATAATTTCCGGTTGCAGAGCCCATTCTACGAGTGAGTAGAGTTACATAAATATCCAAGTATCCATGACAGTTTGTATGTGAAACAAATGATTTCTATGTACCCAACGAGAGTACATACCCTGCAGTAAAATTTAGAGACAGTCTGACAAAGCGCTAGTTAACTAGTGCAAAACGAATGCAGAGCGGGACAGTTGAAATTTGCGGTGTAAATGTGCAAATGCTCACTACTCGTACAATACGAAAGTAGCTCAGCGAGAAGACCTCCGACTCAATCATCGTTGGTCGCGAGTTCAAATCGCGGTGGAGGCAGTTGTGGGTTTTCAAATTTAATGAATTTAAATTGTTACGTGCAGCTTACAATATTTTATTTTTTTTATAAAATATGTAACAAAAATGGAATCTGTAAAAGAAAAGAAAAAAAAAAACAAAAAAAATTTCCAAAAATCGAATCTCAAATACGTTTTCTTATAAAAAAAAACTGTCCAAAACCGAACCGGTTAAAAACTGGTTGCAAAGTAATGCACTGGGCGACAATTGCCACCGCCATTGACATCGCCGTGTAAAACTGGACAGTTGAAAGCATGGCTTGGGTATTGCGCCAGAATTAGTAATGTCGACAAACGGTCTAGTTCTACGCTAGTACTATTTTCTGCAGGGTAAGTTCTATTTATGTATGTATGTATGTATGTAGATTTGTGTATGTGGTATATTTACATACAGATACGGTGGCGAAAATATATTTTTCAATTGTTTTTTGGGTTTTATTATACTTTAATGAAAGAATACATCGCTCGTTATCCAAAAAAAAAAACTCTTAAATACCAATTTTAAGCCTTGTATAAAATTTTAAAACATTTTAATCAGAATTTTTAGAAAAAAATTTTGGTATGGAACTTTATAGTCTATTATATAATAAGAATAAAGTTCAAGTTTGACGTGGATACACTTTTTGTTTTTCCATACAAAGTACGATATGTTCGAAAATTTTTTATATGGAGAAAACGAGCAACACCCTTAACAAAAAAAAATCTCAATAAATCGACAGTAAGTCAGAGCTAGCTCAAACATTTTTGTCGAATTTTCCATGGGCTGCACTTTCATAAGAAAAAGAATAAAGATTAAATAAACAAACAAAAAAAAAACGGAAAAATAGCCAAAGCGTCCCAATATATATTTTTCGCCACTGTACACATTTGGCAGCAAATGTTAGTTACGCGGTTTTGCAGAATGACGTTACGTGGTTTTGTACTTTAAACAACGATATGTACATGCATTGTACATACCCATATATGTACATTTATTGAATGGAAATTTTTTAATGAAAAATACTTAGCTACAGCAAAACTTGTGGCGGACTGACTGTCTGAGTTCTTTTTTATCGTGTCGTGGGTAAATACAATAAAAACACATTTTATTATTTTATAATTATTACTATTGTCTTAGATACCGTTACCGGTAAACATTCTTCATTCTGTGAAATTTCGATTAACGTAGAAATCTGCGCTGATTTTATATGTCGACAAATATAAAGTCTAGACATATGTATGTATGTATGTATGTACATGTATTCAATAATTTCACAAAATGATTTGTATAAATTTGTTGAATAACTGCTTCAGCCTTGTCAGTCGATTTCCAACATAGAAAGTGATCTGTGTCAAAATAATTTATGTACGGCGGTTTAGTTTTAATTTTTATGAACAAATTTTTTTACACTTAGAATATTGAAGATGAAACGATTCAGCATTTTATTTGCGGGTTTTTGCTCGATTTGCATTTCTAAAGGTGTAAAAGGTGTGTGACAATTTGCCGCAAAAGGAGTGAAACTGAAATAAAAACGTTAAAAATAAATTTTTAACGAATATTTATATTTCAAATTCGTATGAAGCGCAAAAAAAGATTATTCAATTGCAGTGCAGCTTAACTTCATTAGTAAATTAGTTTAGTGAAAAATATTGATTCAATTCTTTATCGAAACACTTAAGGAGTTCACATGGTGTTGTATACTGTCGTATAGTTGTATGTCGTAAGCTTTAAATGGCTAACACTATATGAAGGACTTTCGCAAGCTACCATAAAAGTCATATTAAAAAATTTCAATGTTAATAAAAAAATGCTTGGCTGTAGTTTCAAGTCCTCTAAAAGTTTATTTAAGCTTTTGAAGTTGACCACATACACAAGACGATGGCATGCATGCAACACCCTGTGAACTCTATAATTGAGATTATATTTATAACGTTGAAATTATCTATGCATTTTTCATACATATGACATACACGATATTAAAATTGAATCAGAAATGTTAAAATTTCATTACAGTGCCTGTCAAGTGAATATACTTAAAAAATAGGTGAGGTCAAGCGGTTGTATATCCTTGTTTAAATAACCGATTAGTTTTAAACGAAAAAGGCAAAAAAGCAATTTTATTTTCCCACCTTATGCCAGATTTGACATTTTCAGATTACAGTCAGTTGAAGGCTGTCCTTTGAAGATTGAAGGATATTTATTCAGTGGATAAAAGCATTGTGTTCAATGAACAATGTTAAATTTGAAAAAAAAGACTGTGATATATTCTCAAGTTATATATTTTATATATATTTATTATGCTGATATTATATATTATTTTTGTTATAAATATTTAAATTATATGCTTAGTTTGCAATTTTTGAAAAAGTAATTTCTATTTTGAAATAATACAACGATGTATTTCTGTTTTCAGCCAGCGATTTTGACTATGAGCATCAGTCTAAATGGTATGACAACTATCAGCAATGCAGCTTTAATCGTCAATCACCGATTGAATTAAATTCAAATGAGGTAAGTTTTAGTTAAAATAAATATTTATGTTAGGAAAATAAAAGTTTAGAAATTTGAATGGTGCGCACTCGTCCTGCGGTTTTGTTATTGGTATCTGTGCCCCGATAAAATTTTTTTCTTTTGAACCAAGAGATGAGGTTAGATTCGGTTATATTGGCTACCCTCATCCACCACAGGAAAAGGGCATATTAGAGAGTTCTTACATCCCTCCTATTATTTAAGAAATAAAATTAATTTATAGCTCTAATGAAGCGCACAAAATCGTAGATACTGGCTATATCCAGTTCAGACATGTATTCCAAAGAATAGTGCAGGCACGAGCGTACGCGAACCCTCGTCAACTCGGGGCAGTGGCATTGGCATTGCTCTACGATTTAGATTTTCTCCACTTCACGGCAGCTACGACGGGAGTCGTTCCACGTCCTACCCATTCTGAGGGAGTAGGTTCTCGTTAGGCAGTGTCCGGTGAGAACTCAAAATACGAGTGCGAGTTCAAGACTGAATCCTCTTTATATTCACCCCTTGAGGGGATCCTTGTTTGGAAATGATTCCTCAGTATAGTAGTATTGCCCAGCGCTAACCTTGCAGCATTGCAACATACAACTCTAGTTTACGCGATTAAGTGCACAGGTAGAAAGGGAATCAAGGCCTCTAGGGCTTCAGTCAGCTTAAACCGTTCTAGGAAAAAAGTTGTATTCGGGCAAAGGGCCTTGAAACAGGTCACACAGAACTTGGCGCCAGGCCATCAGCGTTAACAATGACCTGGCGACATTCTTCACTTAACCGTTAGATTAAAATGGTGAGCTTGTAACTCAAATAAAAATTACTTCCTGAAAATTCTTTGATACTTTGGTATGTAGGTTACGTTATATTAGGAGGGCGACAGAATTGTCCATTAAGACTGCCCTTTTTTAGTTTTTAGCGAGTGTCAGGAGGAGACACGTACACACACTGAAAATAGAATCGATAGAGTAGCTAAGTAATTTCAATTCATTATTCTACTGAGCCAATTTCTATCCCTAATGAAGACGAGGAGATCCAACAGGTCCACTTCCGCTATCTCGCCTAGACTGTTGAATAAGCGTGAAGCCATTTGTTGGAGGCGTTTGGACTGTAGAATCTTTCTCATCTTGATCACAGCAGCTTCTGCAGAGAGTACTACTTGGTATTCGCCAACGTCGAAGCATTGGTGCTATAGCACAGTGATGACGTCGGTTAGATCTCTTACTGCAGACCTATTGAGTTTCAGTATGTCCCTCGTATTTTGCCTACTAACCCGCAACCATAATTATCTCTTTCATCATCTTTCTGTTTGTTCCACAAGTCATTAGTCTCTGAGCTCTATCTGCCCATATCATCAGCCGACTCATTCGCCTCAATATTGCTATAGACCCTGCATAGTGTCGCTGATATGGCTAAGTGACGCCACCATTCTATTTTCTTTTTCGATTTAAAATTTGCACTCAACTTCTCTCTTTCTCTACACACAAAGGCCATCGTTTCCTATGACATGCCACTAGTTAATTTCGTGCACTACGATGTGCCCTATAGGACAGCTGTGAGAAGTGAGAATAACGGACACACGGCCAATATACAATTGCCTACGACCAGACGCGATGCAGCGTACATCACTGGTGGACCGCTCGTCGAGAATACAACCTACATAATGGAGAGCCTACACTTCCATTGGGGGTCCAATGACTCTCACGGCTCCGAACATGTATTGAACAGCCAACGCTACGCCATGGAAATGCATCTATTGCACCGGAATACCAAATACGCGTCGGTGGAGGAGGCGCGCGAGCACGAGGATGGCTTAGCTGTGTTGGCGGTGTTGTACGAGGTAAATTGTTAAATTCTATTTTAATTATAGTAGTCCTCTCTACAGTAAAATGCTTTATTTACATACTTTACAGAGTACGGCCAGCACCGACTTCGAAGGCTTGAATGAGGTTGTAGATGTTTTGGAATCAATCTCCGAATTCAATCGTTCCACGGAAATCAAAAACTTTACGCTTTCCGTTCTACTCGGCGACATGGATACCGCGGAGTTCTACACCTATGCCGGCTCGCTGACAACGCCACCCTGTTCGCAAGCTGTCACTTGGGTAATCTTCTCGCAACCAATCAACATTACGCACAGCCAATTGATGCGTTTCCACAAAATGTCCGATGGCCATGGGGACACGTTGGAGAATAATTATCGCGCATTGCAGGCAAAAGGTAATCGAAAAGTGTATTTGCGTAACAAACGTAAAGTGCTGGAGTCATCGGTGCAGTCGTCACTCTACTGGGAGCTGCTGAATAAGCTGAAGGCGCAGGGTGGTGCAGCCGTTGGAGCAAGAAGATAAACGTTGTGTGCAGAGTGGAGCGAGCCAACGGAACTTGAGTGTATGGAAAATTTAAGACTGATTGAAAACCCGTTGACATTTGTAGCTGTTTAGTTAAAATTTGCAATTCGATCATCATTTTATAAAAAACTACTTTAAAATCTAATATTAAAAGAGAGAAAAATGTTTTAACCTTTGGAATAAAAACTTCTGCAGGCAGATGGTTTGATAAAATAAAAATTATTAAATTTTTAGCTTTTAAATTTCCATTTACTAAATCAATTTGCACCGCAACTACACTTTCTATTGTGTGACATTGAAGTGAAACTTCGGCTGCCACACTAACACCAGCACATTTAACCATCTGTCGCCTGATGCCACAACAATTGAGCCGCCACACAGTGGTCGGAGAACCCGAAGGCTGTTACGATTATAATAAAACTGCGAGATCGTAGTACTGCTGTAATGCTAAATCCGAATATGTCATAAAATATACAGTTTGTCAGTTGACAGCTGTCAAATCAACTGCCAGTTTCTCCAAGTCAAGAAAATCTTTTTGAAAATACCACTTATTACGTTTTTTGACATGCTGATCACGAATTTTATGCCAAATTAAAACTTTGATATATATTTATCCTAAACAATTTGATCTAGGTCCCAACAGTTTTTTAAGACTTTTTTATTTTATACGAAATTTGTCATTTCCAAACAGTTTTCTCATTTTAAAATAAAGTTACTCAGGGTTGAAATTTTGGAAATATCGGACGCCATATTGGATGTTGGGTTTTGAATTTTCAAAAACTAGTTTGAAATTTGTAATAAGCGAGCTAAAGAACCTCTAAATACCAGATTTCAGGAAAATTCAGCAATTTTTCAAATTCTAAGACGCCATATTGGATTCGTTACTGTATTTTCGAAAATTGACTTCGGCTTTGTTAAAACACATCTTATAGAAGATATGATGCTGAATATAGAATAAATTACATTAATATTTAATATTTTAATACACTTTGTGTTAATTGAAACAGCTGCTGACATTTCTAGTGAATTAAAAATGGCCGACACTCTTTTTCGCGCGAGTATGCGCAACTTTTCTTTTAGTAGATTCTTTGCATTACTTTTTGGTAAAGAAATTAGGATCCGAGTTAGTTATACCTTCTTGAAAAAAAATTTCTTGAAAAATAAGCCGTGTAATTTAGGCGTTGATAATTTAGCAACCAATGTTTATTATGTAATATTTCATATGAAAACATCATTTTCCAGGTTTAAAAAGCAACACCAAACCCGAAATTACTGTTTCAATTGAAAGCTTCCATAAAAAAAAGTTTAAGAAAACAGTCAACTCATAACTTTTAGAACGTGCTACGATCGAAATGATTGAAGTACATAAACGAGTTCAACGGCTTGCTCAGCAGATATTATTGGTAATACTAATCGGTTTTGAGTTCGTTGAACATTTCTGAATAAGAAAAGCTTTATCCCGGTTAATTTGTCACAGTTTTAAAATATGCCTTTTTCGCGTAAAATGTCGCTTATCCGACCACTGTGCGGCACCGCGTTGTTGGAAAAGTAGGAAACAAAATAAAAGTTTTCTATTCGCTGTTGGTGGTGAAGGTGTTGAACCAAAAGTTTGATTTTTGTGATGTGTTAGTGAAAATATATATGTGTTAGTTACACCGACATGACTCTGTCATGACTCTGAGTCACTCAATTGTGTGTAGTCGTTAGGCTAGTCAACACGTACACAGATGACTCGCTAGTCAGACGCTCCGTCCATGGTGCCTATTAGAGTAAAGAATTGGTTGTCTATGTATTTTATTTATTTCAAATTTGTCTATGAAATTAATATGAAATTAATATGAAAATTGAAATGACGAAAAATATATGCCATTTAAGAAATGCCATTTGAAAATAAACATAAAGACTAACGTAACGATGAACGTAATAGCACGGGCATTTTTTAATGCCCAACATTATCATTAAAAATTTGGTAATTTAATACTTGGTGGAAATTCGCATTACAGACTAATTATAAAATCAATTCACAGTAATAATAACAATTAAATAAAATTATACTTATAACAGACTACAAGGCGATATTTGTTACACAAATATGATATTAGTTGAGAATAGTTATTTCATTATTCCAGATTAACAGCGACGGGACATAGAATAGATCAATCCAACGCAAGAGCCTAGTAGGCACCTTAAAAACAATTTTACCCAGTATAGAGGAACAGTCAACAGAGCCAGAGACAATGCCCAACAATGAGGAGATTGACAAAAAAATTATAGTATTATGTCGAATTTCCACTAGGCATTAAAATGACAAAACATTGGAGGCATTTAAAAAATGCCATTTGGAAATGAATTTAATGACAATTTTTTGTTACGTAACGACAAAACTATTTTTTATGCCCAGGTTTGTCATTACAATTTTTGCCATTTAATACCCAGTGGAAATCCATCATTAGGAAGGGACATAGATGAATAATTATAATAATAATAAATTGAAAACGTAAGCAGGTAAAGTACTGGGAAATGTAGGGAACAGAAGGTAAACCGTATAAATACCTTTGAATTGACTTCAATCGATGTATGATACATATATCTAAGCAATTGGTTGCAAGGCCTTCAAGTGAAAACATCATACTACAATTTCGAGGGAACATACGAGGAGTAGCAGAGATGCACTATTTCGGCGCACAAAAGCAAGCATTGAAAACGATTTAGATGTAGTATAATTAATATGTTCGACAAAGCCGAATTTTGCAATATAATCTCATTTACCGAATCCAAAAAATTCAAAGATATACTGGATGAGAAATGAGAATAAGTTATTTGTTGTAATTTCTTAACGTTGAGGAATAGCTGATTTTTTACGCACTGCAAATACAGATTTTAAAGCTCAGCTTGGTTTGTAAGTGAATCACTTGCGACTGTAAGCGGATTTCTGTCTAGGAGTAAGTAGCTAATTTAAGTATGTACTGGGTTTGTGATCAACCATAAAGTTTGAATAATGAGACCCGCTACTTTGATGATGACCTCGGCAAACGTTTAAAGGAATAAGATTTAAGGACATGCACCTGGACACCGCAGCCCCGAAGTGAAACGTAAATTCAGTTTTGGATTTTTGGCGAAAGAGTAGCTTCATTGCCTATTCTTGAACATCTCTTTCATTTCCGCACATTCGCCAACGAAAGAGAAGTAGGAGGCGTCGAAATCTCTCTCCTATTAGCGCATATCTATTATAAAAAAGAAGAAAAATCTATCACATAGCGGCGGATATAAGGTGCGCTACCAGCGTTTTTGACGTACGTACTCTCCGTAGAGCAGACGTCGACTCGAACCATTACAAGAATCGTGGAACCATTATACTGTTACTGCCAAAATATGCATATGCCATTGTGCAGCAAAATATGTGCGCTCAGCAGTGCAAGGGA